GTCGAAAGGCCAGCACTATCAACTTGCCTGCATGAAGCACTTCGAGACAACGCACAAGGGAGCAGAAAGTCTGATAAGTATGGATGGGGTGGGAAACCACCCGAACGCCTTCTTTGCCGCAAGCATGGCCTTTTACAAGGAGAAGAATGGCGAAGGGGGAAGAAGAGGAGGTAGTCCGAACCCATCGTCGCAGACGTCTGCCTCGTCAGCAGGGCCAGGGGAAGACGCGGGAGACCCGGCATCCCCTCACGGCGAATCCATGGAGATAGGGACGGGCGAAGGGAGCCCACCGGCGTGAAGACAGCCCGTGCGTTTGATCGAGGGAAACTGATGAAAATGTGAGCGGAGTGAGGCTACGGCTATTCTCGGTCGATGACGAGCGTTCAGGCAGTCAAGGAGACGTTGAAAAATAAGACAACTAGCTGTCCAGACACCCGACCAAAAACACGACACAGTACAGAGTGCACTGCTCAATCGACAAAGCATGTCCAGAATCTCTTTTGTTGTTTCATTCATTGCATTTTGCTCCACATGAATCGTGCACTATTATGCTATTTTTGGGCCGGCGGTACCTCTCTTGCGCCACGCGTTTTCCTTCAAGCTTAACCCCCACAGCAATCCCAGACACCCCATAGACAGCACGACGTGCAAGCATGCATCGAAAATAAATTTTGGTGCGAAAATTGCCCACACCATCAGGTGGCGCCGCTGTAAAAGGACACAAAGCGTGGTCAAGAGACATCTGAAATCACTAATAAGAAGCCTGGTGCCCAGGGAGGGTAAGAGGGACGCGGAGTAGGATGATGATGCGCAGGAGAGGACGTCATGGCCAAGAAGGAGAAGAACGAGAAGCTCCGTGCCAAACGTGTTGAGAAAGAGTAGGCAACCTCCAATCACGAAAGAGAATTCGTCGAAGCCCACGAACGCTGAGCTGTACTGCAAGCGATTGAACTGACTGTGATGGCCTGTGGCGAAGAAGAAAGCCCGGCCCAAGAAACTGACAGCTACCAGGTACGGGAACGAGGGATATGCGAGGGCGAAGGCCGGACAGCAATACTTGCGTAAGGTCCAAAGCATCCCTCCCAGGCAAAGGAGACTCAAAGGAGCCATGGGGCCAAGAACAAGAAGCAGAGGAGGGGAAAGAGATAGGGCGGCCAAGTCCAAGCAAAAGTTTGCGCTGCTGCTCTGACTACCAGCATTGGAACCGCTGGGACCAAGGGTGATGTAAGTCGTTCGACAGACTGTGAGGAAAGCGATGAGCGAGGCGGAGTACAGGAGGCGGGGGAGTCCCAGATGCGTGAGGTCCGCCAGCCAAAGGGGAAGGTCTTGCGCGTCCACTTGTACGATCCAATAGAGGAGGACGAGGAGGTAAGACACAGCCAAGTAGCCGGAGCGCTTTGTGGGAAAGGAGGAAACAAAGGAGGAGGGAGAGGGGGAGGGGGTGCCCCAGGACATGGAAAGGCAGTGATACCCAACAAGTAAGGCTAGAAGAGCAGCGAGGGTGGGCCATATATGGAAGTGTGCCACCACATCTTGGCCATGTCCTTTTGCTTCGAAGGCCACGCGGACAAGGAGTGTCGGGATGAGCCAGGCAGGATAAAGGAAACCGGCTCTATGGCTGTCAGGATATAGGCTGGAGTGTTTACAGCTAGTCTTGTCTGGCCCTCCGCTGCCTGCCTGCGAATTGTCCACCCCGGCATACGCAGCTTGCTTTGTCGTCCGTAGGACCCATAGAAGGGCCGCCGTGCTCCCCCCGAGAAAGAGATGCACACTCTCCTCCCTTTCGATGAAGGAGTTGGAGAACAAAGAGATGCCGTGCAAGCTCACAAGCCCTAAGCTGATTCCCACAGGCACAGACGGACGCCAAGACCACCCTCTCTTCTCTTGGACTTTACTAGCCGCCTTCCAATCCTCCCGCACGGCAAGGCAGATGATACCCCCGAGGAGGAGGCTGACGAGCAGGCAAGGGATCACGGTCGCTGCGTGGTCGTTGCCCCGTTGGAAAAAATACACAGGGAAGGACCAGCTTACCAGCAATGTCACCGCCAGGACCCCAAGGATATAGCGAAGAAAAAGGTTGTCTGGCAACCGCCATTGTTGCAGGCAGTAAGGGTTTGGAGGGAGATCGCTGTCGCCAATATCATGACCGTGCGCCGCAGGCGCCGCTAAGTCAAGACTGCCTCTGCTCTGCATGCCCGGGTGGCTGTCCTTCACACTCTTCGACCGCGACAACGGCATCGCGGGGGGGAGGAAACAAGGTGCCACCACCATCGCCCCCCCGACGAGCGAGAGGGCTAGGAGCAAGATACCCCAAAGCATCAGCCCGACGTCGTATTGGGTCCAGATCCGCCGGCCCAAGGCCAAAGCCTCGGTCAGAAACCTTCGATAGTGGATACAGGCGTCCCGGAGTCCTTCCTCTCTCCCGCTCGCTTCCCCCTCCACGGCCTCCCGGTGGGACCGGACCGCCCGGGCGTGGCATGCCTCCAAGAAGGCCATTTCCGCCTCGGGGAGACTGGCCACTTCGCCGTACTTGCGCAAATACCGGTCCATCTGGAAGGCGTTCGCTTGGAAAGCGTGCGTCAATCCCTCCCAGTGCTCCTCCCACCCCTCTTCGCGTAGACTTGCACCCGACCCTGGCCGCACTTTCCCACCCTGTCTGGCTGCGGCGAAGAACAACTCGGGCATGACGCTCCCGAGGTTAGGGTACGGCACTGGCACTCCCAGGAGCAAGGCCAGGGTGGGGACAAGATCCACCTGGGCGACGCGACGAGGAACGGACCCCCCATTCAACCGCGTTGCGACCAAGCCCCCTCTTTCTTCCTCCTTCCCCGTGCTGTCCCGCCATACATAGACCCCTCTCCCCTTCTTCCCTGCTTCCCCTCCTCCCTCCCTCCCTCCCTCCCTCCCTTCATCCTCTGTCCCCGCCACGAGCTCCTTCCCCGGACTGTACAAGAAAAGCGCAGCCTCAGTCTCTTCCTGGCTGGCCCCGCCATGGTTACCGTCGTCGGTCATTCCATGGTCGCCCATGACCACGATCAAAGTCTCCAGCACCTGCTCCCCCCGCCCCGCGCGCGCCCTCCTCTCCCCCTCCAGGGTCTCGACCAGGCCGCGGAGCGCCCGGTCTAGCTGTGTGAGCTTGCTGGCCATGGCTGGGTGGGAGGGACCGTGGGTATGACCCACATGGTCGGCCCCTAAAAAGTGAGCGATCAGCACGTCCCATGGCTCCTGATCCTCCTGGGATTTCCCACCGCCGGCCATTCCCAGATTTGGCGCTGTTTCAGACGCCGTTTGGTTGGAAGGGGGGCGGAAGGACCGTTGCAACTCAGGCTGGAGGTGGGCGAGAACCTGATGGTGGGGAAGGGAACAGGCAATAGAGGATGCATCAAGTCAGTCGGAGCCCTTGCCAGAGAAACCCCGGAGGGCCTTTCGTCCTTTCCAAACTAATACAGAATCGCTCCTCGTCCGGCTCTTCACGGCTAGCTAACTCTTCCCCTTCCCTACATCCGTGAAGGAACGTACCCCGTTGTCCACTGTGTCCAGATCCCGGGTGTTGAAGGACGGATACGGGAAGGAGCGGTCGAAGGCCCCGGGGAAAAGAAGCTCCCAGGTATCATCTCCCATGAATGTGATGCGCTTTCCTGCCTGCTTTAGCTGATGGACCAAATTGTCTTCGGCAATGGCAGGCGAATGGAAATTTTGTCGAAAATCCAAGAAAGTTGGCAAGGCCCCCGTCGTCAATCCTTTCAACCTTTGCACGGTAGTGGTAGGCGGATCGGCTTCGAAACGATAGAGTAAGGCTCGCGTTGGATCTGTCGCCATGAGCTCTCGAACTACGGGCATCTTGTTCAAGTGATATTTGGCGTCCCGTGTCCCTTCTTGTCGAATCCGGGTGGCGAGGGCTTCCTCATCGTAGGGATTGATGAAGTCGAAGCGAAGGGCGTCAATAACCACAATTACAGCCCTGTCGAAAAGAGGATGAATTGGGGAGGACCAGCAAGGGGACTTGGAGGGTGAAGGAGGGGAGGAATGGTGAAGTGGAGAAGCCACGGGCCAGAGAGAGCTGTCGTGACAGTGACTGTAATGTGGCACTTCTTGGCGCGTGAGGAAAAAGCCAAAGACGAAGACAGCAAGCGCAAAGCATTGAATGATGCCGAGCAGGGTTAAAGCGCTCAACATAGGGAGGGACGTGTCGGGGCGGCCAAAGGGAAAACCCATGATGCTGAATGGGCCCGCCTAAAGCGATATGGGCGATGTGGCCGCGGGGGAAAAGGAGTAAAAGCTAGCTTGTCTTGTTTACCATTAGGTCTGGTCTGTAACTGTGCGTGTAGAAAGAAGGTATCAATGACCTTGAAAAGCCACAGTACGCCGTGTGTACATCAAGAGATCAATCCGGACATGCTTGAATAGTACACTGTTAGGGCCGCTGCACAGAGCGAGGAGTGGTCGCCGGATAGGAGAGGAGGTTGGTCATATGGCTTGTATATTTTCTCACGGCGCAGCGACTCCCACGCACAGACGGACGCATGCCGCAAGCTACCGAAGAGAAAGAAGGGAGTGAGGACGGTGTTGATTCGGCGCTGTTGCGTGGGTGTTTGCAGCGGCAGCTAGATGAGCTGGAAGCACTCGAACTAATTTACCCTCCCACGAGCCCCTCTTTTCCTCCTTCATTTCCAGCCATTTGTATCGAAGAAACCTCCCGTATCGCAGTCCTATCAGCCTTATCTGTGGATATAAAGAAGTCTGTCCAATTTCTTTCCTCCAGAGACTTGCCCTGTCTCGCTTTGACTGTGGGCACCTGCCCCCGTCTAGGCATCTCGTTACCAGCCTCCTACCCGGAGCTTCGAGGTTCCTTGCCAATCATCCGGTGGAAGGAAGGAGGAAACCTGAGCACACTGGCCAAAAATGAAGCTATGCAGCGATTTACATCTGTATCTTTATCGCACGACGGGGGGGAACATCTGTTGCCTCTAATACAAGAGATGCAAAGCTGGCTGGAAGAGCTAGAGAAAGCTGGACAGGAAACACACAAAGCCGCATCTGCGCAATGTGTTGGCGGCGTCGCAAAATTTCTCGTTGTTTGCCGATGCTTGATTTATTTTCACCACATCATCAACAAGCACAAGAGGGAATTTATCATTCGAGAGGCGCTGGCTCATAGTTTAGGAGGGTACTCGAAGTATGGATGGCCAGGAGTAGTGGTGGTGGAGGGAGAAGAGCAGCAGGTAAAAGCCTACGTTCGCTTGTTACAGAGTTTGCGCTGGAAAGAAATCCGCGTCCGTGGCGAAGAGCGGGAGCTTTGTACAGGTGATCAGGGTGTGGATGATATGCGACGGTTACATCGGGGGTTCGAAGAGCTTGATGAGAGGGGTCTCTCTCTACTGGCACTTCGGCTACGAGAGGCCGGTTTGGGATCATTGTTTGCAACACTGATGAAATAAAAGTTTTTGTACCGTAGCTGCACGGTAAAGGCGTCACTTCGAGGACCTGAACCAGGTTACAGGAATTCCTTCAATGCTATTTTCACGTCATTTTTCTGTACAAGTTGTGCCATTCTTCTCTAGAAATACAATTCTCATCTCAGAAGATACAAATAAATGCTATCCATTTTCTCACGTCTTACGCGCAATCGGCGTTTCATGCTCGCACCCACTCTTTGGGACTCTCCCTTATCCCCGCCACGGATCTCCGTCGCTAAATCTTTTCCCCTGAAACCACACGGGTTCCCCCGTCAGCTTATGTAGTCCTCAAGCCGTAGTCCTTCGGCTTTCAGCTTTCGACGCAACAAGGCAATTTTGTTCTGGTACCGCGGCCCCACCTCCTCCCATTCCCAGAGTAGCAAGGAGAGCACAGCCGCCCATCGCTGACTTGGTGCATGCGCCCCCTCGTCCTTTCTCAGGCTGCGCTGCCCCAAAAGCATGCGGCGCTTGAACATCGTGTCCCCCGTCAGCATATCGGGCATGTTCACCATGTAGTGAGAGGGTCCGTCCACCTCGACGACCACGGGCAGGGCGACTCTGCTAGAGTGAGAGGCCTCTTCACCATCCAGGACGCTTTTATTTCGATCGCTGCTGCAATTGCGGCAATTGCCCCTGGGAAACAAGACCAGGTCCAGGCTGAAAGTGCCTTCGCACACTTTTTCCTCCGCCCTGTACGAGACGCCCGCCAGGGTCAAAGTCCCCATTACTTGTTGATGCAAAGCCGACGGCACCGGCGGCTCCCGCAAATGAGCCACGTGCCCCCACGCCCTGATCACCAGGCTGTACAAAGCTTTGGAACCGGGTATATCACGAAGTTCTGCCGGCGCAAAGCTGCAGGAGGAGGTATAGAGCAAAACCTGGAGGATTTGGCAGAGGCTCCGTGTCAGGAGGGCAGGGGACAGACGAGGAACAGGAGGAGACGGACGACTTCTTTGGCTCAAGGTGGGGCCGGACAGCGCCAACGAGGGGCCTGGAACATGACTACTCTGCGACTCGGCGTCGATTCCATCAATCTCCTCGTTCGAGTCAATCTGTTTCCCGACCGCGGACCTGGCAAGCTCCAAACGCGAGAGTTGGGCTCTGAGTTCTGGTAGCAAGCGCACGGCAATGGCATCTTCCAACAGAGCGGGAGACAAGGCTGAGGCCGATGTGCCGTCAGTTTCCTCCCACCGGGCTCCCGAGGCTCCGTTTCGGATGGGCATACTACTGCTGCTACAGGCACTCGACTCCATCACCGCCAAGGACCACAAAATCAGACAGAGGCTGGACAGATCCAATGTGGCTATGCGACGTCGCACCTCAACTTCAAAAGCGGCCAGGAAGCCTTGTCCGGGATGGTACCTCAAGCGGGCGAAGGCATTGATTACCGATGCCAAGGCCTGTCCCTCGCTTTGCGGGAGGCGATCCAAGAGAGACACGGCCAAGTTGTCCAACAGGTGGTCATCTGCCCGCATTTGCATCCGGGCGAAGGCATTCACGACCATGGCCACGTCTTGAGGACCCAGATTCAGAGAGAAGGTCCCTTCTCCTTCCAGCGCCTCCACGAGTTTCTGGGTCATGGTGGGCACGAAGGCGAGCTCCCCCGTCCTCCTTCCCGTTCTGAACGAGGGAATGTTGGCTAAGCCTCGAAGACTCATGCTGATATCCCTTGGTGCGAAACTCCCATCCAGAAGCCGGCAGTCCAACACATGCAATAAACGTGCCTGCAGCCGGCGGGACGGGAGGTAGGCCAAATGTCCAAAGCTACCCACCAGCAAGGCAAGCCCTTGGGAGGAAAGAGAGCCAGAGCCTTCCTCCTCCGCGCGCCCGCCGTCTTCTTCCACTGCAAACAAAGCGTGCCCACGGCTTGGCCTGCCGCCGCTGCTGCTCCTGCTTTGGCTTCCCTCGTTGGCCTTGGCTGCCACGACGCCCTCTTGCTCCGACGTGGACAAAATCAACTCCATCTGTCCGCACAGCCCATCGACCACCTCGTCTCCGGGCCTGCCCAATCGCACCATGCTGTTCAAGACGAGGCAGACCTCCTGGGGGCCCAAGTGGCCTCGGTCGGACAAGACCTGCTCGTACAGCGCGCGAATGACGGGGGAACAAGTCCCGTGCTGCAACCTCTGGCCTACCCTCTCCTCCTCCTCGGCAGGGTCATCGCCAGATCCCCCTTTACTCGGGGAAAGCCGTGCCAGGGCATGCAAGGTCAAGGCTGCCTCCATCCCGTTAAAGGAGGTAAGAGAGGCCTCCACACACTCCTCAACTTCCCTAAGAAAATTTGTTGAGGGGGACAAGTCGATGCGAGCCAAAGCTCGGAGGAGCAGGGAGAGATTGTTGGGTCGGAGGAGGCCGAGGCGGCCCCCAAGTGCCTCGACAAGGATTGGAACGATGGGTTCTCGCTCGCCCTCGGCGCATGTATCGAGTCTGCTACTGCTCGAAATATCCTCACGGTTTCTGTCCTGATTCTCTCCGTGCGAGAACTGGCTCCGCATCTCCCCTCTTTCCCCTGCTCCCGACAACCCGCCTTGCGCCATGGCCAAGGCTGGGAGCTGCCCTATGGAATGCAGCAAGATGCACAGCTCCTCCACCTTCAGAGCCCCAACAGCCTCCTGGACGCACGATAGGAGCCGGAGCCTGAACCGCAGGGGGGGCAGGTACTGCAGCAATGCAAAAGCGTTCACGGTGCAGACCAAGGTGTGCGGGTTGAACCGAGAAAGGGCCGCCTCCATCCTCCGGGTCGCCTCCGCCAAAAAGGCGTCGCCGGGCGAGTAGTGGATCTTTCCCATGGCCTGTAGGGTATTGCTCCAGTCCTGCGGCCGGTACGTGGGCATGGTCGCCAGAGCTCTCTCTCTCATACCGCTCATATGCGCCGCGGGGGGGCGCCAAGAAAGCCTCGCGTAGCTGTTCCACATGAGGGCAAGGTCCTGGGGCTTGCACGCCGGCAAGACACCTTGGACACGCTGGGAGACCTGGTGGAGGAACTCCGGCCCCGGGTGGAAGCCCAGGTTGGTGAAGCCGTTCAGCAGGAGTGCGAGGTCCTGAGGGAGGAAGGGCACCGAGGCAAGCTTGCGAGCCACGGTGTCGCGATACCGGGCGAGGAAGGCCTTGTCCTCCGGCCCCTGCCCGAAGCCTGGGTCTGACCGGCCCTCGCCCGTCGGCTCAGTGCTGCTGATGCCGTAGGAAAGTTTGGGTAGGGCCGTGAGGATAAGGGCGAGACCCTGGGGGGTGAAGTCGTCGAGTCGACTGCTGACGGCCTCCACCAAGGCCGCTTCAAAGTCTCCCTGGCCGACCTCCCCTCTACCTGTCTCCAACCCCGCCTTCTCCTGGGTCTTCCTTTGTTGCCCACCTCTATGCCTCGAGGAGAGAGAGGCTGGGGGATGGGGAAGCTTGCTCAGCGCATTCACGGCGAGGGCAAGGTCTTGGGCTGACAATCGGCCCATACTTCGTGTCAGGCGTGACCTCAGGACTTGGTACAGAGAGCCCACGAACGCCTCCATCCTCTTCGATGCCTGCCTCTCTAGCTGCCGGCTCTGACTCCTTGCGACCCTTTCTTGATGTGTCTTGCTGCGCTCGGCAAAGTCTTCGTTACCGGGGCTCTTTGCGCTTTCCCCTCCCCCCCGCATGTGCAGTAGCCGAGGCAGCGTTCGAAGAACTCCGGCCAACTCCCTGGGCTCAAGGTCAGGAATCAGATCCCGTGTGCGCCGGATTAAGCGTTCGAAGCGCTTGTCCTGAGATAAATAGAGTAGATGCATGGAAGAAAGAAGATTTGTGGCACGTAATGACGAGGAGAAGGGCTGCGGCCCCCGGGTGGTCAGGCACTTCCAGGCCAGCGCACAGTCTGCGGCATTTAAAGTGTTGTCATGTGCGTCAACAATCGTAAGGATGGCATTCAGGTCTCCGGGGTCACAAGATAACAACATTTGGCTCCGTTGTCCTGCACTGCCTGAGCGAGTCCTAGAAGAAAAATGCCAACGAGATTTCAAGGTATCTTCACCATGGTGGGGAGGACGTGAAGTCGCAGGTTTTTTAGAAGCAGTCCACTGCCACGATGAATTTTCACCACGATCCGCCTTGGATTTGATTTTACTATTATCGCCATCCTCTTCACTGGTGCCTCGTGATTTGACGTTCAGTGACGAGGATGAAAACTGTCTTGCGAAGGGAAGTGGCCGTCGTAACTGTCTCTGTGGCAGTGCAAATTTGTATGCCTGATTCCGCGCCGGCAGGACGGAAAGAGAGAAGAAAAGAATACATGTTGCAATGCGTGGCCATGATCGATGCGGAGTGTCTTTCCTTGCGCCACGTGGTGTGCACGGGGCATGCAGAGCGAGTGTAGTCATGGGGATGTATGCGCAAGGTGGGGAGGTCGGAGTCCTGTGGTTTTAGCTAAAGCGGCGTGTACGGCATCGTGTGGACCTCATCCCTACGCTTCTTAGGAGTTAACCTGAGAACTTTCAACATCCTGTGTTGAAAGGGGTGTGTATTGGAAGGCATGTGTATGTCAATTGTGGTCATTTGTCTCCAATGAATCGATTCCCAGGTCTGGAAGAAGCGCCTGCTTCCTACAACCCTCCTCAATCCTTATGACCTTTTTGGCGTTCATTTCACGGTCCTTCTGTCCCCTAATACATGTATATAACTGGAAACACCAACGCTCATGCACACACACCTGCATGGATGCACACAGAATCCAGCGACCAGTCCATTAGTACACGGAGTACACTTGAACCTACGCACGCTACCACACCCTTACGTTCCGTCCCATGGCCTCACTAGCCACCTCTGCGATTCGGGCGTCCCTTATCAATCATGGGAAAAAGATAATTGGCGTGGGGAAAAACTATGCCATGCACATCAAGGAAATGGGTGGACAAGCACCCAAAGCCCCGGTTCTTTTCCTAAAGCCAACCACAAGCTATGTCTTCGAAGGCAGCCCTATCAGACTCAATCCCAAGGTCGGGACCGTCCATCATGAAGTAGAGATGGCCGTGGTTATAGACAAGATAGCAAGGAAAATTTCACCCGAGATGGCTCTTCAGTTTGTGGGAGGCTACGCTTTGGCCATTGACTTGACTGCGCGTGACGTCCAAGAGGAGGCCAAAAAACAAGGCTTGCCATGGACTGTCGCAAAAGGACAAGATTCCTTTTGCCCCATTTCTAACATGATCGCGAAAGCGGACGTTCCCGACCCTGATAATGTTGGTCTATGGCTGAAAGTGAACGGGGAGCCAAGACAGCGGTCCAACACGAAGCACATGATCCATCCGACAGCGTTTCTGGTCAGCTACATTTCTCACCTCTTTACGCTTGAACCGGGGGACGTTATCCTGACAGGAACACCGGAGGGTGTAGGACCCATCAATGTGGGGGATACAGTGACAGCAGGGATCGAGGGATTGATGCAAATGAAGTTTGATGTCGAAGCAGATACTTAGGGGAGGAGCGAGCGAGGGGTAACCCTTGCGGAGGGAGAATGGAGGCCGCCCGAGGGCCTCCTGTATAGAACACTTGGTACATTACTCAAGACATATAAAGTGCCAGTCAAAGAAAACCTGTAGCACCCATAGGCATGCCGCAGGGTCGATGCTTGTGGGCATGTGGAAACTGAGGGAAGGGGCAAGAAAAAGAGGGAGTGGCTGGCGAGTTCCTATGGTGGATGCCCACGCTGCTCAATACCGCTTAGTAACGCTCTGTGATGTCTGTCGCTCTATACATACTCCTTTCACACGGCCCGCTCTAGGGCCACATACACGGGGCGCACGGGCTTGTCACTGGTGCCCAGCTGTCCTCTGTGCGTCTCTATCATTTCCGTCACTCTTCTTACATTGCCACCCTGATATACTCTTCGCATGATCATCACCATCTCCATCACTGCAAACCGAGCCCCCAAGCAGGGGTGTCCGGCCCCCGCCCCATTGCAACGCCGAAAGATCCGCGCGCTTCTTTTCCCGCTCCATCAAGTGACGCTCAATGTCGAAACGGTCCGGGTTTGTATGCAGGGCAGGAGATGTGTGGATGTAGCGCGCCGAGAAGGCAAGAAAGTCGCCGACAGGGACCTGGTGACCGGTTGAGAGGAGGATCCCGGAAGGAGCGACCACCTTTCGGAAAAATAGACCAGGGGTGTGCAGGCGGATTACCTCCTCGATGATGGCTCTGGCTACCTTACAGCCGTCCACTTCCGCCAGAAAAGAGGTGACTGTCTCGTCATTGCGTTCCAAAAGCTTCTCCTCCGGGTAGGATTCCTCTCGCCCCCTGCTTTGTGGGGGCCGCGGATGATGCTCGCGCTGCTCTCGTTCCTTTTGTTGCTGTAGTCGACCGCATTCCGCGAGGAAACGTTCGCGGACCTCCGGATTCCCTGCCAGCTCCCAGAGCGACCATGCCAAGACGGCGTAGGTGTTGGTGAAAGCCGCCAGGACGAAGGCGAATACGTCGCCTGCCACTTCCTCCACGTCCAACGGAACATTCGACTGCCGGACAAGCAGATCTAAGACACATTCGGGCGCTTCCTGTTGCTCTTGGGCTCCCTGAGCTTTCATTGTTCCATCGTTTGTATATCCTCCGCCCCTCGCGTCGCTCTCTTTCTCCTCATAGTGCTCGAGTACCTCTCGTGTTATTTCTCGCAGGGTCGCCCAGGCCTCCTCTTTTTTTTGGGGGCCGAGCAACAGGCTTGTCATTGTATCCACCAGACCTTTCTCGGGGTCAATGGTGTCAAACGCCGCGTAATACTGCTCGCACAGCCCGTCTCGCAGAACCCGAGGACCCAAGAGGACGCGAAGATTGAGGCGCATGACGACGTGGCGGCATGTCTCGAAGAGGTCGATCAGGTTTGAGGAGGCATTTTCAGGCGTACTTGGAGTAGAGAGAGACTGTACAGGCCTTTTCAAGGTATCGTGGGAATATGCAGGTAACCTGAAAAGCAACGGCACTTGAATTTCCACTTCAGCGGCGAGGAGGCGGCAAAACCATTCCATGTTCCCTTCCCGAAACAAAGGAAGGAAAAAGTGATGGCGAGGAACGAATGTGAAAGCTTTAGGGAGCAATCCCTCCATCAGCTCTTCGAAACCTTTCAAGAAGGAGAGCTCCGATTCCTTGCCATTTAGCACTAATTTTATGTCCTCGGTGGCGTAGACCACACTCCACCATTTCCCAGCCACCAAAAATCGAAAAGGCCCGTCGTTGGGATGCTCTGTGCGCTTTTTGTCCAAGAAAGCATTGATGTCCTTAAAAAAAGTCAATGCAACGCCTACGTAGGGCAAAAACCCTCGATGTGACGGTGGCAGCGGACCAGCGCTTGCCGTCTGCCGGCTTCGTGATGGTGCCCGTTTCTGGTGCATGTACATAATCACGATGGGTGTCACGATCGCCATGACCATGGCCAAGACCACAGGATCAATGTGTCCACTTTCACTCATGGAGGCCGCGACCGATGGATGTGGTTTGGTTTCAGTCGGACGAGCTTTCTTGATGTCGCTTATTTGTACGTGCCACAAACGGATTCGTCTTCCTGTTGATTAGGCCCCGTATATCACGCCAAAATCTGTACCAAATTTCTGGTTATCGCCTCCAATCGATTCCTCGACAAAATCAAGCGAACATTTGCCAACCTGTGAAACTTCTGTTGATGAGACGCATTTTCCCTCCGTCGACCTTATTTAGTCCCACCCCAGTCCCTCTCGCCAACAGGAAGCCTCGCTTTAATCCGCTCGCGATCCAGACCGCACGATTCCATTTCTGACACTTACCCACTCTTTTGCGCCACAAAACTTACTTTCAACAGTCCCGCGGGCATAATTTATGAAGATGGCCTCGTCAGCGTCCATGTTGTTGCGTAGCGCTGGCATGGGAGCCTTTGCCAAAGCATCATCATTAACTCCATTCCTGCTCAAAGGTAACCGCCTCCTTTATCGACTACAAACCCGAGGCATCTATGCCGACGCGATGGGGAAAACATACGAACGGCAAGGCTTAGTTATGTAAGTATGCAGAATAATGAAGGGAGGGAAATGAATGCTGGAATAATAAATTGTGGAGTGACAAAAGAGACAGTGAAAACTGCTTGTCGAGCGAAGCTTTTTCTCCGAGAGGATGTCTCCCGTCCTTACGTTGTAGTGTCCAATCACTTGATGATCTAGCATAGAAGCTTAGGATATAACCAGAGGCTTATGATTGTCTGCCCTAAACTCCAAGTTATGGGCCGCACTGATTGATAGAATTGCGTACTTTCTCGGCGTCGCCTCCCCTTTCATGCCACTCTGACGCCAGGACAAGAATTGTCTGCACGATTGGCCCCGCATCGGAGTCCCTAGAGACCATGCAAAGTTTAGCCGACGAGGGAATGAAAATTGGACGCTTGAATTTCTCGCATGCCGTGAAGTATGATGAAATGTCGGAAAAGCTCAGGACTTTCAGGTCACTGAAGGTAAGTGGATGTTGCGCGTTGTAAGGTTCCGATTGTCCCATTCGAAACCGTCTGGAGCCTGCATAGAAGAGAAAATGCATCATCTCCGGTGACAGTTTTTAACGGGACGATCGAGAAGCTTCTCGCTCCCAATTCCACAAGCGAAAAAACATCCTCCCACCTCTTCCTCGGCTGTCTTGTCTCCCCTCCATGCTACCCTCTTCTAGGGCGCTCACCGTCGCGTCGGCATCGACTTCAACTTGCGCGGTGCCATGCTGGATACGAAAGGTCCCGAGATTCGGACTGGTTCTTTCGTGGGTGGCGTGAAACACGTGGAGATCCCTTCCGGCGCTCAAGTCATCCTTACCACCGACCCTGCCTGGGCGGACAAGGGCACTCCCGAGAAGATCTTCGTGGACTACCGCGCGCTCGGTCGTACCTGCGTGAAGGGAGGGAATATCCTCTTGGACGACGGGATCATCAAGCTGGAGGTGGTCGAGCCGTTGCACCGGAGCTATACCACGGAGGACCCGGAGAGACCCGTCACAGAGACGCTGTGCGTGGTCAAGAACCGGAACCCGGTCAGTTTGGGGGCGCGAAAGGGGACCAACATTCCAGGGGCCATCCTTGAATTGCCCGCCTTGACGGGGAGGGACAAGGCGGATCTGGAATGGGGGGTGGACAACGACGTGGACTTCGTGGCCGCCTCCTTTGTTCGGAAAGCAGCGGACGTTCGAAGCGTCGTTGTGCACTTGGAGCGGCTCATGGCAAAACGGAAACCCACCGAGGCAAACCCGAGGCTTTTGCGGCCCTTGGTAATCAGCAAGGTAGAAAACGCCGAGGCAATCAAGAACTTCGACGAGATTTTGGCGGAGTCGGATGGCATCATGGTGGCGCGCGGAGACTTGGGGGTGGAAGTGCCTTTTCAGGATGTGTTTACAGCTCAAAAAATGGTGAGATGTGCCATACGTCTTGCAGAGCCTTGAAAGAACTTTTTTGTTGTTGTCTTTTAGACGTTCTTAGGGCATGTAGAGTGGTTTGAGTCGGATGAGTCTATTCCTTCCTCCGTCATTACTCACAAATTTTAAATTTTTTTTCTACGCACCCTTAGATGGTCAAGAAATGCAATGACGCGGGCAAGCCAGTCATTGTCGCCACACAAATGCTCGATTCTATGATGCGGAACCCCCGGCCTACGCGTGCGGAGGTCTCTGACGTGGGCAATGCCGTTTTGGACGGCGCAGATTGTGTCATGTTGAGCGGCGAAACAGCCGCGGGAAAATACCCGGTGGAGTCCGTACAGGCCATGAGAAACTGCGTGGTTCGAGCCGATACGACTGTCGACCACCCTGATACCATCGTGGACCCGCTCTCAGTCTTGCAACGCGCGCGCACGTTCACGTCCCGTGTGCGGACGACGAGACCCGGGTTGACTTCGGAAGAGCTGGAGACGGTGGCCTTGTGCACTGTGGTGGCCGCCTCCGAGCTGCAAGCCGACCTGATAATTGTCTTGACCACGCGCGGAAACTTCGCGAGGGCGGTGGCGAAGCACCGTCCACAAATTCCGGTGATGGTTTTTTGTAGTGAGTTGAAAGTGGCGCGGCAGCTCCAGCTTTTCCGCGGTCTCTTCCCTGTCTTGCCTCCAAACCTGCAGGGTGCGACAGTTGAGGATATACCCGAAGCAATTCGTACGGCAAAAGAAATTGGGTGGGTGAAAGCGGGGGATAAAGTGGTCGTGTCAAATTATGAGCTCTGGGCAGATGCGGGGATCAAACAGTCCATGAACATGAGGGTATTCCCCGTGCAATGAACATGTCCTAGAGGGGGGTCATAAAACTTTTCAACTGATGATACCAGCCGGTGAAATTGTATGTTTGTGCATGTTTGAGGAGCTCCAAGCGTACTTTGTGCGGCCCCTTCATGCACGCTTGATGTAATCGTGCGCGTATGTGTGTGTTTGAGGTGGTGCATAGAAGGGTTTTCGCGTCATATTGGCGATGTTCCATTGTATTTTAGTTTTTTTTAGTGCTTTATCCAAAGTTCTTTATTTGACATACTTTAACTTCCCGCATTATTTTTGTGCATGACCGTCACAAGCAATAAAATGTTAGTAAAGTGCATGCCGATGCTTCGTTCCGACGCAACAGTAACAAGTAACGTTCGTTCAGACACAACAGTAACAAGTAACGTTCGTTCAGACACAACAGTAACAAGTAACGAAAATTGCCCAAACTTTGCATACAT